CGACTCCGCGCCCGACGCCGACGTGGCACATGCACGGTTGACCCTGGGACATCGGAGAGGATCCTGAGGGAAGATCTTGAGTAGATCGGCAAAGTCGTCGAAGCGATTCGCGTCCAGCCCGAACAGCTCTTTCATCTCTGTCCGCTCCTTCTCGAAAGCTTTCAACCCCTCGCATTGCAGGGCACCCTGCTTCAATCCGAAATGCGCTCCATGTTCGCTGCTGTAGCAGAAGCTGCACCGATGCACTCGGGGACAATTTTCTGCCTGGCAACCTAAAGCGCCAGTGTGATTGTACCTCGTGCACAAGTCCCAAGCCCTCTGCATTCCCCCTGAGTGAACAACGCTGTAAATCATGTGCCACATAGGGATTGACACGTCCCTGTCCAAGCTTAAATGTTTGCCCTCGTAGCATCGTTTGAGTCCCATGATCTCTTCCTCGTTCCTGAGGTAAAGCTGACAAAGCTTCACATGCTCTGGAAAATCGTTGAAGAGATCGTACGTGATCCCTCTGCAAGCGGCCATCGCTGCGTGTACACAGGCGAGACCTGTATGCGGACCGCGACGACTCGAACCCTGATGGCCACGAACCCTTCCGCCTCTCACTCCCTCCTCATCTTCTGCTCTCGTCGGCACTGCGGGCCCTCCACCGAGAAGACTGAGTGACTGAAAGGAACAAAGGGGGGCCGCTCGGCGGAGCCCCACTGCTCCTCCGAAGCTCAGAGTGGCCGTGGGGGTCGCGCCTCCTCTCCTGCCTCTTCCGCCATCCCTCTTCCTGATGAACACGGTGGGGGCAATTGCCTAAGGAACCCTTGGATGAGTAGTCCAGGCTCCGAAGTCGGGGCAGCTCTGATCGTGGAGTGGTCATGGATATCACCGCCGCGCTCGTCGCCACGGCGCTGGAGCATCGCCCCGACGCGGCTCCAGCCAGGACTGCAGGGGCCCAGGGACACGCAAGCAGATAGGCACAAACCCCAAAACTCCCCATAACTTGTGTCCCGTGTCTGCTGGGCGCTCATCTTCCCCCCCACTCATCCGACAAAGGAATGGTCCAGGGTGAAGTCGGGCCTGTCCCCCTACACGGGGATTGTGGACGAAGAATAAAATATCGTCCCACAAATACCCCAATATACTCACAAATAGCCAAAAAAACAAAATCCTCCCCGGACTACTTTCTAATTATTTTTGGATATTCCCTCCTGTAGAGGGACAGGCCCGACTTCAGTCACTGAGTCCAGGGCCCGAAGGCTCCTGGGCACACTCCTTCACCGACGCCGCCCCCCCGCAGCGCGGCCCCGCCGCACCGCCAGACGCGTCCGCAGGCTGGGCCTGCCGTGCCGCCTGCGACTTCCTCCCGGACTGGGCCCAAACGCTGTTGCCGAAGGGGCCCCGGGACACACACACACACACACACACACACAGAGAGATAGACACAAATAACAGGATCCCCCGTATTTTCCCATATTCTCTTGGTTTTTGCCTTCCCCCCCCCTTCCCATATTTTCACATATTTTCTGGTGGATCGACGATTACTTGTGTCTGTGTTTTGTTTCCCCCTCCTGAGTTGTTCGTTTTGCTGTCGGTTCGTGCTTCCTTTTGCTCGCGCTTTTTGCTTTTTGCTTCGCTGTTTTTCCTTCGCTACGGCGCGGCCCGCCCTAGCGTGCTCGGCGTTCGACCTGCTTCGCGCGCCCGCGTACCAAACAAGTGTTTTTGCTCGACCTGTTTTCCAGTACCTCCCCTGTCGAAACGAAAAAAACAAGACACCGCCGAAGTCCGGCAACACAGCGTTCGGGTCCAGCCCCGAGCTCCTTGCGGACTGCAGCCCTGAAGCGTGAGACCCTCCGAGTGTTACGGGAATGGAGGGCCGGTCGCTCTCAAAATGGGGCTGTAGCCCGAGCGACGCGCACATCGATCTCGCAAACTCGGGTCGGGCGAAAGGGGGGGATAGCAAAGGGGGGGTTTGAGAATCAGCTCACGCAGCTGATTTTCCCGGCGCCTCCCGGCGCCGGGGGGCGCCCATGTATCGAGGAATGGGCCCCTCGGTGAGGCCGAAACCAGCTGCATGCAGCAAATTTCGTAACCCCCCCTTTCCCAACCCCCCCCTTTCGCCCGGCCCGACAAACGTCCGAGAGATGCACAGGACGGAAGGCTGGCTTGGCCGCTCCCTCCGCGAGTGCGGCCCTCGCCCCATCAGGATATCGGTGTCTCAGCACGGGGGCCCTCGCCCGAGACTTCCCTTCAAGCACCACATGCAGCACCTGCACAAGCTCGTGGAGCTGCCACACGCGTGGAGGGCGGCGCCTCCTCCTCCTCCTCCTCCTCCTCCTCCTCCTCCTCATCCTCCTCATCCTCGTCAACATGTCGGCCCTCGCCTTCGTGAGGTCCGATGGCCACGGGCTGACTCGTGCGCCACGGATGCACTGCTGCCGTGCAGGGTCCTGCTCGGAGCGGGGCTGACGCTGGCCAGCGCCAGGGCCCCTCATGGCCGGCTCCGGCGCCCCTCCTCTCGCCCCTTCGCGCCACGGGCGATGCGACGACTTCAGACGTCAGACTTCTCCGCCGCCTGGGGAACCGGTGCCCCGGGGCACCAGGAGGCAACGGATACCTCTGGGCCTCCGCTCCCGGGATCCTGGGGTCCTGTGGCACCGGTTCCCCAGGCGGTAGCGGCGCCCTCTAACCCAACTCGGCTCACACGCACGATGAGACATCCTGCAAACAATGAGTCTAAGATACATGTCCCAGATACGCTCGACTTCGCTCGGTGTCACACGGATCCCCAAGGCCATCGGGGAAACAGAAAATTCCGTAGGGCACCTGCTGGCAGGCCGGTTGCATATTTGATATGCCTAATTACTGTGGGGTCGCGGGCAGGATCTCCAGAGCCAATTCAAATAGATGATAGCGCTTCGGCAGAATTACCCGAGACGTACCCAACCCTTTCCCCACGGGAGGCAAATACTTGCATGAATGCTCCACGTACAAGAACACATCGCCAAATATATACATGATCTGCGCTGCCCCCATCTCCGCCGTGCCTCCCAGGAGCCCACGAAAAGGGCGACGGCTGCGCAGCTGGTAGACTCCCAAGGAGCAGCGAGGTCTCGGCTGGCTCCGCGTGACCCCATCCTCCGCCGTGCCCCCCAGGAGCCCACGAAAGTGGCGACAGCTGCGCAGTTCGCAACTTCCCAGGGTCTCGGGTACTCCTCTACTCCGCCGTGCCTCCCAGAAGCCCGCGAAAGTGGTGACGGCTGCGCAGTTCGCAGCTTCACATGGAGCTGCGAGGTCTCGGGTATTCCTCTACTCCGCCGTGCATCCCAGGGTCCCACGAAAGTGGCGACAGCTGTGCAGTTAGAAGCTTCCCATGGAGCTGCGAGGTCTCGGGTACTCCCCTACTCCGCCGCGCCCCCCAGGAACCCGAAGCGCGGCGACAGCTGCGCAGTTCGCAACTACCTAGGGAGCTGTGAGGTCTCGAATGCTCGCCTACTCAGCCGTGCATCCCAGGATCCCACGAAAACGCCGACGGCTATGCAGTTCGCAACCACCTGAGCTGTGAGGTCTCGGGTACTCCCCATCCTCCGCCGTGCCTCCCAGAATCCCACGAACGCGGCGACAGCTAGGCAGTTCGCAGCCACCCAGGGAGCTGCGAGGTCTCGGGTGCTCCCCAGCCTCCGCCGTGCCTCCCAGGAGTCCGCAAACGTGGCGACAGTTGCGCCAGTTGCGCAGTTCGCGGCCACCCAGGGAGGTGCGAGGTCTCGGGTACTCCCCAGCCTCCGCCGTGCCTCCTGGGAGCCCACGAACGTGGCGACAGCTGCGCAGTTCGCAGCTACCCAGGGAGCTGCGAGGTCTCGGGTACTCCCCCTCCTCCGTCGTGTATACCAGGATCCCACGAAAACGCCGACGGCTGCGCAGTTCGCAACCTCCCAAGGAGCTGCGAGGTCTCGGGTACTCCCCTAATCCGCCGTGTTTCCCAGGAGCCCGCGAAAGTTGCAACAGTTGCGCAGTTCGCGGCCACCCAGGGAGCTGCGAGGTCTCGGGTATTCCCCATCCTCCGCCGTGCCTCCTGGGAGCCCACGAACGTGGCGACAGCTGTGCAGTTCGCAGACACCCAGGGAGCGGCGACGTCTCGGGTACTCCTCTACTCCGCCGTGCCTCCCAGGAGCCCACGAAAGTTGCGACGGCTGCGCACTTCGCAGCCTCCCGGGGAGCAGGGCAGCACGAGGCAGGAGGAGGTGGAGGAGGGGGGGGAGGAAAAGGGTGTGTGATCGAAACGAGAACCCAACACAAGAGTTTGGGGAAAAAGAAGACGGCACGATGGGAGAGGGAAGGAAACGGACCATGGGCCTCGTGACAGTCGCCGGGACCAGCGCATCCTCCAGAGTCGTTGCTCGACGGCCCCGCAGCTAGGGAAGGGCCCCAACAAACCAAACATCACGATACTTCTCATGGGACCCCGTCTTTTTCACTTCGGCCCTGAAGTCTACCCAAGGGAACCTATAAAGCAGTTGCCATTAAGCTGCACCGTAGGATGCGCCAGGCACCCCACGGGCAACCAAATCGTCCGAAGTCTGAATGCACGCGCGCGCGTATATGTGTTTTGTGTTTTGTGTGTTGTGTGTTGTGTGCTGTGTTGTGTGATGTGTGGTGTGTGTTGTGTGTTGTGTGTGCCATGGGTTGCACCATAGGCTGCGATGGACACCCCGCAAGGGACCAACTCGTCCAAAGCCCTAACGGGTGTACAATAGTTGCGCCATATGCTGCGCCTCAGGTTGCGCCAGACGCCACGCTGGCGACCAAATCGTCTGATGCTGCAGTGGGTGTGCCATGTGTTACGCCATATGCTGCGGCACCAAGCACCCCGCGAGCATCAAGTTGTCCGATGCCCTAATGGGTGAACCTTCTGGTGTCATACAAATTTCGTTCCAACATTCGCTGCCCAGGGAAACTTACCCCTGGACCGTGCTTGGGATGTGCTCGGCGGAAGAGTCGACGAGAATCCCGACGTAGCGAAGAGGCGACTCCCGGAAACAGCTTATTAGAATTGTACCATGGCCCGATCCAGCTCTGATGGAATCCTACAATGTTTGGATCAAGCTCTGAAAGAAACCCACTTGGTCTCGATCCATCTTGGATAGAATCCTACTAGGGCTGCATCTAGCTCTAATAAAATCCGACCAGGTCCTACAAAGACTCGGGTCAGCTTCACTTGAACCCCGCTAGGGCTCGATCGTCGTCGTCGTCGGCGACATCGTCATAAGCGTCCTCGTGGTCGTGTTCGGCGTCTTCGCCGTCTTTATCGTTTTCGTCGTCGTCATCGTTGTCGTCCTCGTCGTCATCAGGGTCGTCGGAGCCGTTGACGTCGGCGTCGGCATCGTTGTCGTCGGCGTCGGCGTCGGCGCGGGCGTCGTCGTCGTTGTCCGCGTCGATTGCAGGCGGCGGCGACGTCGTCGTCGTGGTCGTCGTCGCGGTCGTGGTCGTAGTGTCGGTTGTGGTCGTCGTCGTCGTCAGTGTCGCCGTCGTCGTCCTCGACGTCGTCGTCGTTGTCGTCGTTTGCTGGCGGTGGCGTCGTCGTCGTCGTGGTCGTGGTCGTGGTCGTGGTCGTGGTCGTGATCGTGGTCGTGATCGTCGACGTCGTCGTCGTCGTCGTCGCATGCTGACCGATTTGGGCTCGTTGCCTATGCCCAGCAGGGGCTTCGAGAAACTCCGGGAATCCTGGGGGGACCTTCTGCAGGGGCGTCCAGGGGGCCCCCAGGGTCACGGATCCTGGTGGTACCGTTTTTGGGGGGAGCACGCCCCTGGATATACACATCTATATATTTTGTTGCTTGCCCCCCTCCCCTGTCAGCATACCTTTCGCCTCCTCTCGTACCCTCTTCCTCTTCATTCGCCTCCTCATCCTTCTCCCCGTCCTCCTCGTTCTCATCATCCTGATCCTCCTCCCCATTCTCCACAGTATTCCCCATTATCTTTCTCATCATCATTTGCCTCATCCCCATCATCCCCACAAGATTCATCATCATCCTTTTCCTCATTCTCTTCATTCGCCTCCTCATTCTCCGTCTCCTCCCCATTCCCCTGGTTCCTCTCATTATCCTCTTCCTCCCCCCTCCTACAGTATCATCTTTCTTGCCTTCATATATATATATATACATATATATATATATATGTCCTCGCTGCGTCTCTCTTTTTCTCTCTCTCTCCCTCTCTCTCTTTCTCTCTCTGTCTGACGATCAGAACCCTTTGGAAAGCACCACAAAGGGATTCCATTCGAAAGCCTCACATCAGGAACCATATTTTCATGTTTTGCGAAAAAAACGAAGAAGTTCCATTGGAAAGCCCTCTCACAAGGATTCCTTTGGAGAGCACACCAGAGGGATTCGATTGGAAAGCCTCGCAAGCGGAACCGTTTGGAAAGCACCACAGAGGGATTCGAGTGGAAAGCCTCTCAACAAGAATCCTTTTGGAAAGCACCACAGGGGGATTCGATTGGAAAGCCTCACACTAGGATCCCTTTGCAAAGCACCCCAAAGGGATTCGATTGGAAAGCCTCACAATCGGAATCTTTTGGAAAGCGCCACGGGGGGATTCGAGTGTAAAACCTCTCATCAAGATTTCTTCGAAAAGCACCCAAACGGAATTCTATTGGAGCGCCCCACAACATGGACCTAGGGAAAGCACCACAGAGGGATTCGATTGGAACAGGAAGCCTTCCGAAAATGCTACAAATGGCTTTCGTTGGAAAGCGTCACACAGGGAATCCTTTGGAGAGCTCCACAAAAGGCATTCACTGGAAAGCCTCACAATCGGAATCCGCTGGAAAACGCAACAAAGGGATTCCATTTGAAAGCCTCACAACAGGAACCCCTTGAAAAACACCATAAAGGAATTCCATTGGAAGGCCTTTCAACCGGATTCTTTTGGAAAGCACCACAAAGGGATTCCGGCGTAAAGCCTCACAGTCAGAATCCTTTGGAAAGCACCACAGAAGGATTCGATTGTAAAGCCCCTCAACAATATCCCTTTGAAAAGCACCCCAAAAGGATTCGATTGGAAAGCCGCACAGCAAGATCCCTTTGGAAAACATCACAAAGGACTTGCGTCGGAAAGCCTCTGAACAGGAATCCGCCAGAAAGCACCACAGGAGATTCGATTGTAAAGCCCCTCAACAAGATTCCTTTGAAAAGCACCCCAAAGGAATTCTATAGGAAAGCCACAATCGGAATTCTTAGGAAAACGCCACACAGGGATTCGATGGGAAAGTCTCACAATCGGAACCCCTTGGAAACCACCACCAAAAAATGCCATTGGAAAGCCTCACAATCGGAATCTGTTGGAAAGCACCCCAGAAGGGATTCTGGCGTAAAGCCTCACAATCGGAATCCTTCGGAAAGCACCACAGGGGGATTCGATTGGAAAGCCTCACAATAGGATCCGTTTGCAAAGCACCCCAAAGGGATTCGATCGGAAAGCCTCACAATGGGAATCCTTTGGAAAGCACCACATAGG